ATATATGAGGCCAGCGTATCGTCGGGTTAAACAGGTCAGAGCGAGGATGAACTGCTGCACTGATATTTTGTCCCATCCCTAATAGGAAGTACTGACTAAAGAAAGCCTCTCTCTGACTCTTTGTGTTGCTCTTTAAAATGTCAAAGATTCAGGCACTCGAGCATAAAGCATTTACTGTCACTGTTTAGAGCTTTTTGTGTCACAGTTTCAAAGAATATTATAATTTGGGGCTGTCGGAGCGTGTCAACACTGTGCTGCGTGCAGCATGCTGGGAAAACTGGGTCAACTCTGCAAAAGCTCGCACAACAGGAGACGGCTTAGAACTGCATGCGAGGGCTTCGTTTGTGTTTGAACAACGTGGATCTGGACTCTCTTAAAACACAGACATGTTGTGTATCTCTAAAATACGATAATGCAAAAGTTGCTCTAAGACACATTAATCATCTACTTTTGCAAAACGTTCCCTAAGCTCTCTCTGCACTGAAAAAAACAAGCCTCACAAATGGACTTTTTTTGTACTCGTGTAAACCTCTGCAACAGCTTTTGCTGGATAGAAGCGTTTGTGTGCACTCGTGTACTTTAGTGTGTAGGTGTGTGTTTGACTATATTTATATGAACGTGACACAATGTGTGTGACAGGTATGTCTTCAGGCACCGCAGCATCCCTTTACACCTCTACACGGCTGTAAATTGGAATCGTCTTTCTTTCCCCCTTTTTTTTAACTCCTCGTCTATTCTTATCTCTTTCACACACACACACACACACACACACACACACACACACACACACACGTATAGACACACACATACTGTACATAACCTTAACAAGAGACAGAAGAGCCAGGGAACCAGCCACTGTGACAAAAACCTTGAGGCACACACCCCCTCCTTGGCAATTGTCCAACATTTTGAAACACACACGCACGGTCACACTCAAAGGCAAACAGAAAGGAAATACTGTCCATGTGCAGTTCAAAATATGGAGATTTTAAAGAGGACATATTATCCCCTTTTTCCACCTTTTCAAACAGACCCCCTGTGGTCTAAATGAAACATCTGTGCTGTGCTTTGGTCAAAATATAACATGAATCAAGCACCAGAGGAGGTTTGTGACCCTGTATAAACCAGCTCTCTCAGAACGCTCCGTTTTGGTGTGTGTGTCTCTTTAAATGTAATGACCCCCCCTGAGTTTTCCCCGTAGACATCACTCCTTTGTAGAGAGAATAAAAATGGCAGACCTGTGCAAAAGTTTTGTTCTAGGCTGGGGGTGGAGTCCATGGGTGGAGATACCAGGGGAGGGGAGGGGATTTTTTTTTACCACTGTGACATCACAAGGAGAGTAAATTTGAAACAGAGCATTTTTCTCTGTGTTGTAAGACTTATGCAGACCACAAACAAGATCTAAAAAAGTGGATCTGGAGAAAATGACCAACCGTGCCTTTAACATTTTAGTCATGTAACAGTACTTGTAGTTGAGTACAACTCCTCTGCAAACCTCCTTCTTCATCATCATGGAGCAGAGGCTTTAGACACACACACACACACACACACACACACACACACACACACACACACATAAAGAAACAATCTAAAGAATACAGAATCATACATGGCCTGGCTTTAATCTCTTTCATACTTCCCCATTGGATTTGTAAAGAGAGATAGGAGGATGATTAGTTTACACACACATTATTTACGATAAGCGCACATATGATTCCTCTTCGAGGGTCTCTTGTGAAACAGCAACCAAATACCAAATGAACACATGACAGCACCTGGCCCTGCCGCTGGAGATAAGGAGGATGTAATAAGTGTGTCCACACTTTTAGCCCACACACACACATGCACACACTCTCAGATGAACACACACACCAAGTAAACAGAGCACCAAAGGGTGAGATGAATACAGAGTGGAGGAGAGCCATTGAGAGCAGGGAGTGGGATGCAGATGAGACGCCTACACTGGACTGAAAGAGAGTCAGTAAGAGAGAAAAAGACACAGAGGATGAAATGGAATGCCAGAATGATGTGGCTAAAAGGGAATACCAATCACTTTAACTATTCATGTGGGTTTTTTTTTTCTAGCCATAATTAATATAAGATCTTTCCCAGAGTAGCGCCGTAATAAGAGAATCTTTGTCCAATAAAATCCTACTCCCCTTGATCGCTCCTTTTTCTTGTTGTTTACAAAGGAAGCTTTTATCCTCTCTTAGCACCAGTGAGTTTTTGAAGGATAAGTCGGGTTATTTTCCCTTATTTTATGGTCTCATTTTGTTGAATATTTCATCCTCTAAAGAGTTTCTAACCCCTGGTCGTCCAGAGAAGTGCGTCCACTGCACTCTTTTGTCTTCAGTTAAAAGTGATCTCACACAGAGAAAATTAAATCCAATTCTTTCTTTCTTTCTACCGTTCCCCTGAAAAGAATAGAAAGAAAGAGGCCGTTGTTGGCGTTTGTGCAAAGCTGTTAGTATCTCAAACCAGTGGCTATTAATGCAAGAGATTTTTAGACTTTATTAATCCCTGAGTGGAAAATTCTTGTTTTACATTCTGTTATTGACTCACACAGGCCTGAAATACACACATGTACACACAGGAGCTGTGGACATGCATTAGAGGAGAGATGTCAGAGTGGAGCTGCTACACAGGGAGCTCCTCAGAGTTGTTCAGGGCCTTGCTCAAGAGCACCTCTACACCTCTACAGCAACCCATGTTGGGACATGAACCGCCGACCATCCTTTTCTTTGCTTAAAAACTCAGACTATATTATCCATTCAAACTTAATGTCAGGTATGGGCTTCACTAAGACATTGTGAAGGTGGTGCCGGTTGTATAGATAGATAGATAGATAGATAGAAAGATACTTCCCCCCCCTACATATAGAATACCCCTAGATGAATCAAACTTAAACCTGTGCAATTGAAAATAGACTTATATAAGAAATGTACATAACCCGTGCAGGGATAAAAATATATGTGCACTGTATAGGTTATGTCCGTTGTGAAAGTAGTGCACGCTGTACAGTAAAGGGTGATCTGAACCTCTTATACATCAAATATCAACAGAAGCCTTTCTTAAAAAAGACGCCATCGTTGAAAACTTTAAAGCTCTGACTAATTTAAATAGAACTAATGATGAATATCCAATTAAGACGACAAGCTGTTTCTGTACATATATTATCATAGTGGCATTTTCTGAATCGCCAGTATTGACTTATACAAGAAACATGATACACTTAGCCCCTTTAATACACCAACAACATTTTTTTTATTTAGTCAGGTTGGTCCCATTGAGTTGGTCCCTCTTTTCCAAGGGAGACCTGGCCAAGACAGGCAGCAGCACAAACACAAAGTTACAGGCGAAAATACAAAGAGAGACAAAGTACAATTTACAAAAACACTCGAATCACCTAGTGTTCCTGATTCACTAAACATGCAGCTTTTCGTGCACACTAAACATTTAAATGTCAGACACACAGTCTGATTCATAAAACACAAACAGAGTGAAATGCTCCTCTACCTGCGCTGCAGAACAAATTGCATCTATGTGCTGCGTTGCTGTTTGAACCTGTTTAAATAAATTATTATGCTTTCAGTCGGGGGGAAAAGGGATTGCTGCTCTTTGCAGATAGTCGTCGCACATGGCTTCCCTTTACATTCAGGCGCAAAACAAGAGCAAACTGCAAGACGCTGGACAACTTTGTAGGTGTGATTGCGTCTGAATGTCGTTGGCGATATATGCTGAGTGAATTAGACATTGAGACATTTTTGGTGCTTTTAGCTGCTCCAGTCCATTGAACAGCCCTAAAATATATTTCTGTCTTTAGTGCACTGTTGGAGAGTAATGACTTGTTAACGGGAATAGCCATAGATTGACCCTCTAACCCTCCAACTAATGGCCAACACCACGGCCCCCTCCGGCCTGCGGTTGCCTCTGATGCTCCAGTAGTTCTGGTTTAGTTCCAAAGTTCTTTACTTTACAGCCTGGGCAGGATACACACACAGCTCGAGGCCTTTCCAAAACACTCATTTACACACCGCAGACTCAGATAATTACACATATCGATACACATTATTACAGCTTAAACACTGAGATCTAAATGTGTTCTGTTTGTAGAGCAGCTGGTTATAGTTGGGGATAATAATGTTAGACCACACAGAGTCGAGGGGATTTGTTCAAATGAGAGTTCAATCATGACAAATGTGCACGTTGGCCAAACATGTGGTCATCCCAGTTTGATAGAGATAAGTGTATTGAGGTTATAAAGTGTATTATCATCAGAAGCTTATTCAAATCTGTAACCTCGGCCTGCAAGAAACGAACCACCTTACCTTTACCCACACAGTGATGATGATTCATTTTGATCTCGCATCAAAGTGTGAACACTGAGACTGCATCTTACTGCTCTGTCAAACAAATAACACCAACAATCATCACCATGTGTACAACCTATCCCACCAGTTTTATTTTACATCAGTTTGTTACTATACTGTCCCCATGTTTTTCTTTGTCCTGTTTGCTCATTTACTTATTCTGTCCCTCTTTCTAATTCATTCATTTTATTTACTGACCCTTTTCCTTTTGTTTTGTTAGTTTGTTTTTGTCTAAATCTGCTTGCAAAACTGTATCATACCACAGTTCCCCTCTTGTTTGTATCTCTTTTTTTTATTATTGCGTGAGTGTGTGTATGCACGTTTTTATGGAAGCCCATTTCCGCCAGTTAAAAAAATAAAAATGAAAATAATAAAGTCGAAATTTACGTAGCATTGACTGTACCGTTTAACTGTCAATGTGTCACACAGTTATTTTGTAGGCTAAAGTTTACAGTAGTTGATGGTGTCCCTGACTTTTTATCTCATAATTATGACTTCATTATTTTCATTTTTAATTTTTTTAACTAAATGGCTTCCATACGTTTTGGTGAATAAAAGTAAAAAAATAAAAATAAAGTAACATCTGAAGCCGTCTCTGTTTAATACATGTGTCCTTGTGTTTGTCTGCAGGTCTGATCCGCCTGCGCTCCAGCCCTCCCCCGTACCTCCAGGGCGTCGAGTATGTCCTCAATGTAACAGCGACGGATGACAACGCCTCGGGCGGACCTCAGGCCTTGTCATCCACGGCGCAGGTCATAGTGGGAGTGGACGATGTGAATAACAACAAGCCTGTCTTCGAGAAGGTAAGACGATGTGTAGCCTCGTTTATTATCTGCGTGTTTAGACACAGTGTCGGGGTCTGCTCTCCTGCTGTCGATGCAATTTGCCACACTCTTTTCTTGTCTTCTCATCACATCTTAATGACTTCTCATTCTCTCCGTTTCTTTGCTCGTGTAACTCTTCTCCATCACGTCTCTGTCTCCCTCTCTTTGTCCGTCTATCTCCGCTATTTATTAGCTGCTATCTCTCGTCTCTGGAGGAGCGATTAGCCGGCTTGACCCGAGTCTCTGCTCTCTCGTCTCTCTCCCACATCATCTCAGTCTTTTAATTAAAGCTTTGAGGAATGTGGCTGTGGAAGCACAGAGTCTCCACCTTCTCTCTTTTTTTTTTTTACCATGTCTCAATTTTAAATAAGTGGGACTTTGCAGGGCCCTGGAGGTATCACAAGCCCAGATTAGGATGGTGGGCTTGCTGAGTAAACCTTGCTTACCGTCTCTTGGGGGGGATAATGGGCACCAAAGAGTTTCCCTTTCGGTTTCACCTTCTGTGGGACGACTCTGAGGCATCGGTCGACGAGATGAGAGTCAAGAGAAAAGAGAGACTAGGAGAAGCAGGGGACTCCCGGTCCGCAGTGTCTCATGTGCTCTGTGTGCTCAATTTGTATCTCTCAGGAATCTCCTGCTGGCTTCACACTCCAAAAGTCTATGATTCAGTATTTATCTCTGCTGGCATGATGCTGATTGTAACGGACAAACAAACCCGCTCCCCTTGCTTCTCCCTGAGTCAAACAGATGATTTAAAAAAAGAAAAGAAAAGAAAATGATATCTGAAGATGAAACGAAATCAACAAAGCCTATATAAATGTATGAACAAAGAAAAACAAAGAAAGTGTGAGGAGAAAATCCTAGACAAATACAGCTGTGTGTGTCTTGGGCTTGGGTTAAAGTTAGACAAAGAAACTGTTGGGGAAAAGTAAAAAGAGAAAAGAAAAGAGTGTGAGTTTTTTTCAGTTAGTAGAGACGTCAGAGGTTAGTTGGTGTTTGCTCTGTCACTGGCAGCCAGCAGCAGGATACTGAAGCAGAAAGGCCCCCTTTCATCTTCTTTTGATGCCCATTCTCATAACGTAGTGCCGCCTCTCAGGAACTCAGGGGCCGGATCAGTGGACCAAGACTCACACACACACACACACACACACACACACACACACACACAGCTGCAGATACAGAGAAGAGAGATCTCCTGGATGTAGCAGAATCTTGCATTTCCCTGTGGCAAGGTGTCAGATTACAGACAGAGGCATACTAGGGATGTTCACAGCGACTGATTTCCTGATCAATTTAAAGTCAGACTACTTTTCTAAAGGGTAAGAAAACACACACAGGATTTAATTAACACACCTAAACATAGGATGACAGCGCCCGGGGATAAACGATGACAAATCTGAGCGTGGCTAACGTTAGCAGTGCTAGCACCTCCATCCTTCATTCGTCCTTGCAGGCTGACTTACTCATGCCATGGGTGAGTTGTTATATTTAACCTGAAACAACCTACATAAAACTTTGTGTCCATTTTCTAGATCATAATACTGCCAAAGCGCTCGGAGCTACAAGATTAAATGAAAATGAAAATGAAAATGAAAATGAAAAATGTTACTTTATCAATATACGTTTTTATAGTCAGTTAAAATTATTTTAAAAATATGCCAGGAATTCAAGCAGGCAGACCGTCCTCACCAACAACCCTTAGGGATCTGAGAGCTCCCAGGAAAACTAGGGAGTCTAGATATTGAAAATTACAGCGGGCAAAAAGTCAAATAGATTCTCAGTCATTTTAAGAAGAGGTGGTCTTTAGTGCTGCTTCTGATTTAAAACAGAGTGTGTTTGGGATTTTGTTGCTTTAAGAGGTAAAGGCTAGTATTTAGGTGTAAAAAGAAACGTGGTCATTGTTGCTTAGAATCAGGTCGACCATGCTGTTTTTGCTAACCTCTATGAGCCCTCCCTCCATGTGACTGGGCGCCAGTAAGCTTAACCCTTTATCCTCCCTTCTGGGCGACCTTGACTACAACACACCTGCAAACACTCATCATTTGCTGAGAGTCATGAAACCAAACACTCCCAGCTTTAGTCCATTTCTATCACAGACTTGACTCAGAGGCTCAGAGACAGGCATGTTCCTGTGTGAGTATTATTGTTGTTTGTTTCTTATGTAACGTACAGTCAATAAATCTCTGCTTAGTTTTTAACCTTTTTTTAACACATATTTCTCCCTATGAGTCTCTTGGTGGGTTACACTGCTGCTTATCTTTATCATCTCCATCCCCTCCACTGTCTGCAGCATCCAAATCAATGCTCAAGGAAAAAAAGATGATTGAGACCTAGACAAAAGACGAAGAGACCAGAGTGAGAAAAACCCGGTGGAGAGTTAAAAACCCAGGAAGCTTTTAAATGTGGATAATAAAGCGATGTGTGTCTCACAAGTTCAGAGAAACCCAAGACATTGAGGCGGCTCCCTCACAAAATCAGAGACTGAATCCCCGACTCCGACATGTGTTTGATAAAATGAATAAAAGCAAGAAGGGTTTGATTTCCACAACATCCGGGGAAAAACTAGAAAAAAAAACTAGGATGTCTCTCCAATTTTGAAAACGACAAGTACGATATTTAATCTTAAAAATGTTTTCTATTCTCGTGCTCGATGTTATTCTTCTCGCTCCAGTTGTTTATGTGATGCTTTTTTATTGTAAAAAAAACCAAAACATTATTCTTGAAAGTGCTCCATCCTCTGAGACAGAAACAATACAAAGCGGGTCAAACAGAATCTGTTTTTCCAGCATATCCTCTTATCAGTTTTAATATCTGTGAGTGGTTACTCGGGAGATTATGACCACCTTTACAGTGCAGACATGTGCTTACTACTACCAAAACGAAAATCATCCCCCTGGCTTCTTTTTCATTTTAAAGATTAATTTTGGGCAATTCTGTTTTTTTCTTTTTTTAATGTAATGGAAAAACTGGGAATGAGGAAGAGAGACGGGGTGGGATATGAGTAAGAAAAGCTGGGAATGAAGGTCAGGATGTCTCTTTAGAAAGTAGGGATCAAGCTCTACAGAGACAGCTGCATGTTTTTTTTTTTGGATGTTAATAACTGACCTGATCTGCAACAGATTTTCCACTCTGATTTTTCAGTCTTGTTGAGTTCAAACATTTTGGTATGTAGCTGAACTGTTAGCTGTTGTTTTAATGATTTGTTTGATGGAAATTTGATAATTTTTCAGGGTCAAACTCGTTCAAACGCGGTCAAACAAAGATCAATTTACCTCGTGAGAGAAATACATTTGGATAGGAATTATTGGTTGATCTCAAGATCTCGTCTTGGCCAAAAAGTTGCACTTGAACACACCGCAAAGACTACAGCCGACAGCCAACCACCACGTACGTTCTGCACATGCCTGAGAGGAAATAACTCTCCATGCCAGCAGGGGGCGGTAATACGTTGTTATGATACGAGAAGACCTTTTCACATTTTTATTTCTGATCAAGAATAATGTCTGATAAAACATTCAAAATGGCGCTGGCGTTGTCAGCTCTTGATCTTTTAGTGGAAAAAGAAAAGAGAGAGGAGGCAACCAATAAGGAGAAACCGCACTAATGGGTGAAAGCATGGAGACTACAGAGACATGCTCAAGAGGCTTTACTGAACCTGAGAGGAGAGCTGGAGAGAAATGAAACCTCCCAACAGCCAATCAGAGAGATTCATCTCACCTGACCAACAAAAGGTAGCGATGGAGCAGGCAGAGTTTTTGTACTTGAATATAAAGTGCGAAAAGGACCAAACATTAAGGCAGGAATCATGATCCATAAAGTCAACAACAAAAAATGGGTGGAGTGAGGAATGGTCTTCAGATGTGACGATAATGATGACGATGTGGCGCTCTTAGGGTTTTGGGAGAAGGACAGACGGGCTTGTGACGAGTCAGGCTGGGTCGGGTCGGGTCAGGTCTTAGTGCCTGCTGGTGTAATCCTGTTCCTTTGAACAACTAGAAGAGGGAGACCAGGATGGTGCTCAATGTGATCGAACATTCACGTACTGGTCTCTCTCCGCGTTCTGAAATGTACCTAATTAATTTCACTTTTTTTTCAATACAACCCCGACCAATTTCTGTTTCACTGCTGAGCACTTCCAGTGAACTCTGCCCACATTTCATCACACAAAAAAGTGTTTTGGACAGCACTAAACACTCGAGGTGCAGAAAAGGTTAGCAGCTTTTAATGTTGACTCAAGCTCCCACAGTAATCACCTCATCAAGCAGCTTCTGAGCACCTCTGCACAAAGACTCAAAAAGACCCCTGAACCCACTCCCATTCACCCCCACTGAGGTCAAGCAAAGGTACAAGAAAGGATCATAGATTATTCTTTACTTCTCATGCTCTCTTTCTTCTTGCACGTATCATTCTGTGTCTGGTTTACACTTTCTGTCCCACCCGTCTGTCCTCCGCCGCCCACACACTCATGTTTTACGGCTTCAGAAGAATGGAATATCGATCCAAGTTTTCTCCATACTTATATGTTATTGATCTCCTCTTCCTCCCACCTGTCATCTCTGTCCGCTGTGTCTCCTTGTCACCAGTGTCAGCAGTACAGAGAGAGCACGTCGGTCCTTGAGAACCAGCCGGCGGGGACGTTTGTTCTGCAGGTCCATGCTGTGGATGCTGACGAGGGCTCCAATGGAAGGGTCACATACGGCTTCATGCACAAAGACTCGACTGTGCCTGCGTTCAGCATTCACCCAGACACCGGTACTGACGCACACACACACTCACTGTCTGTTTGTGGGAACAAACAGCAGAGTGCACGTGTTTGTTGCTTTAGTGGGGATGCACCATTTATTACTTTCTTTATTTTTAGGGAGGAGTAGAAAAGTTATCTTTTATTTCTTTCTTTCTGACATCTGACAAAAATCTGTGATCCAAGCTGTGAGACTTGTGATCTGTTGCAGCACTAACACCTTGTTGTTCATCTTGTTGCAGTCCTCCAGGCAGGCGGCCCAGTTTTCCAATCTGACCTGTGCCACTCTCTCTCTCTCTCTCTCTCCCCAGTTTCTAACTCTGTGCAGTGTCCTTTCTAAAATTAATTCATAAAAGCCCCAAAATCAACCTTAAAAAACTAAGAAGAAAGGGCTGCAATAGTGCAGAAACACAATAACCATAACCAGAGATTTGTTCAAAACACCTTTTTGAAAACAGGTTTTTAAACAATAATCTTGCATGCTAATTAGCAGCTGTCTGATCATGCAAACCTTAATTTGTATTGCAGAGAAAATGAAGACACCATTCTCACATCATTACTCAAAAATTGGAGAAAGAAAGAAATTGGAGTTCACATGAACCCATTCTTCTTCTTCCATGTTTTCTTCACTTTGAATGATCGGACCAAGATGTCCTCCACTTCCTGTTTTAATGTCAGTGTTAAACTTCACACACATTTGATTCTTCTCTGTTGAGTGATACCTGGTCCACTGTGGTTCATTGTGCAGGAACACTTTTTAACATCAAGGGCCTTTTATCAGATTTAATCAACCAGTGAAAGCGAGCATGCATCTGTCAGCCGACATAACAAACAACAATGTCTGCCCACGGGGCAAAAGCCACCGCTAGTGTTCCTTTGTGAGTGTTAATTAATAGCAGGGGGGCTGATTTTTAATTGAGCAGATGATCTGCAAGCGAAGATAACTGTCAACTAGCAGACAGACACTGCTTACCCAGTCTCCCATCGTGGGCGTCTGTTGGAACCTCTCATCGCCCTCCCCCCCTCCCATCTACCTCTCCTAGGCTCGGCTAACTACCTCCTCTACTCACTCGTTTCGCTTCACTGTTGGATCGTTGCCAGAGCTGCCAGATTGGAGGGAAAATCATGAATCTCACTCAGTATTTAAAGACTGTCTGAGTCCGTTGCCCTGCTTTTTACAAGACATAATGACATGTGTATAATCTGTGAATTTAAAGATAAAACGACGGAGCTAAACCCAACCTAAGTGGCTACACTGGATTTGTTTACAATTTGAAGTTCTTTTTTGTTTAAGATATTTTTATAAAAGGGGCATTTACTTTCCCTTATTGAGAAGACTGGACAGTGGAGTCAGAAACAGGGTTTTTATTAGATTATTATAAATCATTTTTTTGTTTATTTGTGTTTTTTTACACCTTTATTGTAAAGACAGGACAGTGGACAGAGGTGGGAATCAGAGAGAGAGGGGGTGGGGAATGACATGAGGAGCAACAGGTCAGATTTGAAAGCGGGCTGTCCATGTTGAGGACTTCAGCCTCTTTACATTTATTTATTTATTTAAAATATGGACAGTGCACATTAATGAACATCAACATGTAATTATGCCAGATTATATCCACAGGCTAGTTTCCATCTGTAGTCCCTTGGCAGGTCGGTGGTAAACAGGTGACAAGCAACACCAATACAACAAACTGTAATGACAAAACAGCAACATATAGTGTACATTAGTTCACAGAGACACACACATATAGCATTAAATTGCACATTTGCCCTGGAGCCTGTAACTTTAAAGTGCTGCTGTGATTGCACATGGCTCTATTGCAAACACAGACGTGTGAATGCATGTACTTGGGGAGCATGCTCTAACCACTAAGCCACCGGCAATGTCAAGTTGCAAATGCTCTGTGGACAAGAGACGTAGAGCTTACTGTTACATGTAACTCCCTTATTAACCGTGTTTTCTCCGTGTCTTTAGGAGTAATTGTGACAGCCAGGAAGTTTGACCGAGAACGCCAACGGGAGTACGCAGTGACGGTGACCGCCACCGACCAGGCAGCTGACCCCCTGATTGGAATTTGTCAGCTCACCATCCTCATCCTGGACCAGAACGACAACAGTCCAAAGTTTGAGAACATCCGATACGAGTGTGAGTAGATACCAGTGTAAATAAAAAGATGTGTGAATGATGGAGACTGAAAGAGATCGATCTCTGCAGCTGGTTTTTCTGCACCGTTGTGATCTGTGATTTAAATATCATGCAATATGTCATACAAGGTTACAGCTCATGCTCATAAGTCGGAAGTGTCCCCTGAAAATCTGTTTTCATGTTTCGTTTTGTTCTGGACAGGATGTGGTATTTCATGGTTTCCATGTGTTTGTTGTTCCACTGACGTGCTGTCAAGTTGACGATTTCTTTCTGAAACGTACTGTGAGGAATTTGAAACTTTTAAAAAAACAGTGACGTTCTTTTAAAATGTGTTCATCTTAAAGTTGATCATGTCCTTTAAACCATTCCTATAAAAAGTTGAAACATTGCAGCAGCAACCATCATCCGTTCAACCATCTGAGTCATCATATACTGTAGACCATTGAGACTTATATTCCAGATTTTAGTTATTTTTCATGCTTGTCACCACTGCTAACAGGTCGATCTTTCAAATATGAAGTTGGTGTTGTCAAATGAACGTGTTTTTTCTGTATTCCATCGTGCTCATTTTCACAGCGTTCAAACTAAGTAATAAAGCTCATTTCTTTCCCTCTGCAGACTTCCTTCGGGAGGATACAATGATCGGGACTAGTTTCTTGCGTGTGGCAGCTCACGATGATGATTTCGGCACCAATGCAGCGATCACCTACTCCATGTCCAGTGAACAGCCTGAGTACCTGAGGGTCAACCCTTTGACCGGCTGGGTGTACGTCAACCAGCCCATATCTCAGGTACATACATACTATGTACAAAAAGAGTATAACGGACAATATTTGGAAGAAATTTCAGCGTGCACTTAAACCAGTTTATATGGAAAAGTTACAGTTTTAGTGCAGTTTTGCTGTACATACCTAAAGGTGTGCTCCAAGTGGCACACAAGCCATTAAAGGAATGTAATATTTCACTGAAAGGCTCTTGAGATTTTAGCAATGGGCCTCACATTGCAGCTAAAACAACATGATACTTTTCCCAGTGCATGGCCCAAAAAACAACTTTATTTGCATTCAAGCACTTTACTGCTGACAGTGTCGGGGGCAGCAGCAGACAGGCAGCCTGAATATGTGATAATGTCTTCACTGGAACCCTTTTCCCCGGCATCGAGAGAAATAACATTGCTGATATTTTCCTCACTTGACTGCCTCCAACCCTTTGCTGCTTCACTACCAGTAAGAGAAACAATCCTGGCCAGAACATGAAAAAGTAATAGTGGAAACTGCCACATAGTGAGCACAAACAAGTCGGCAGCTCGGATGAGTGCCACAATTATAAAAGCCCAAAAAGCAAGAACTCGCCGTCTCCAAGTAAAGAGTAAAGAACGTGTTTGTCCCCAGCACCTTGCGTCTTAATTGAACACCATGCCAGTATTTGTGCTTTTAAGAAAAGTTCTCTTTAACACACCGATGTTTGAAGATACAGAACTATTCCACTAATGAATAGCACTGAATAAATTATAACCAGAGGAAGAGATAAGAACTATTCACTGCAGCAGGTTAAGATTTGTGGTGAGGTGCTAACTCGGCTAGTTAAAAGTGTTATTTTAAAGGAGCAATATGTAACTTGACACCTAGTGTTTAAAATGGGTACTGCAGTCCAAATTCTAAACATTGTAGAGAGCTGTCTCCCCCCTCCTCTCTAGAGTCGATGCTCACACAGGTCACCATGTGGTGGACTCTGAAGCTTCAGTGTTTATCCAGCTCTGCATGGGTCTGTAAACCTTTCTGTGTTCTAACCTCTCTCCATTTTTCAAAAGCATCTCCAATATTGATCCTAGTTTGAGCACGTTTCTGCTCGTGGAGCTTATTAGAAACATGCAGAGGCTTTTTAGGTCGGGTACAATCACTTCTATCTGAACCACTTCTCTTGACCGCTTCCATCACTGCAACACCTGTTGACCTGATAACTGCTCTCATATCGGACAAACTGAGGGGCGTCCAAAACGGCCATGTAGGGGGTCGCCTTAAAAGCGCCTACCTTCTCTGGTCCAAACAAATCCAGAGCATTCAGGAGCAGAATCTAAAGTTAGAAGGAGGACATACTGGCTGCTGCATTGTTGTCAGAGAAGCCAGGACTTCAACATAGCATCATAGCATTACATGATTCATAACATCAAAGTACTGAAGCTTTAAAACCATTTCTGATCTTCAGTCATTTATGAATAGAGAGAGCGCAGCAGACAAATACTTTTCAAGTCCTTCTGGCATCAAAGTTTTCAATTATGTCTCTTTCAAAAAGACAGCTGTCTAAACTGCACATTGGCAACGATTCGGTTCCAAAGTGTTGCCAATGTGTTTGTGCAATCAAGTAAGGGTGCAGGAGTTGGCTTGTCATTTGATTTGGTAATTCAAAACAAGAAGTTTCCAACATTTGGTACCAAGGACTTCTTTTTTTATTGCTGTTAATGATTGAAATTATGGTATCGTCACAACCCTAACAACCCTTACAAATAGCTACTGTAAGTTCAAAATAGTGGTTATTGAGGCGCCGATAATGTAGTTGTTAGTGCGCACACCCCACATAGGCTGTAGTTCTACAAGTGGGCGGCCCTGGTTCAAATCTGACCTGTGACTCCTCTATAGTGTGTTGTTCTCAACTCTCTCTCTCTCTCTCTCTGATTTCTGGCTATATCCACTGTCCTATCTCTGAAATAAAGGCATAAAAAGCCCCCAAATAAACCTTAAAAAACATTGATAAGAGGTTTCTTTTATTTAAGTAGTTGTTAATATATTTCAGATCTGATGGACAAAAAAAAAGTGTTGATCAGAAATGTTCAGTGACCTGACATGGTGATTTTAAACTCTGAGTAAAATACACAAGCACGTGAAAATCTGGCTCTGCGACACGTTATTACTTAAAAAAAAAAAAGGCTGAAATAAGTGAATCCTTGATCATGTCGGGTTTAAAATAAAAAGCCTTGAACAAAAGTCTAAAAAGTAAACATTTGGTTAAGTTCTTTTATTTGCTACTAAAACGTATAATTTGTCTTGATTGCAGTGGCTAAAGATAATTGCTCTTGTAAAGGTGACAGATCTGCTTTTCCACATTCTGAATGCTCTTCAATCAATACAATTATCTCCAAGTCTGTTTGTTTTACCAGATTGCAGCATGCAGTCAATTTCTCCCTGGGTTATGTGGGCTATGTTCCCAATGCTCATAATACTTTAAGGAAGCTGTAAATTCAGTACAGTGACGTTCTGGCTCCTCTCACTCTGCTCTCAATCTGTGCTGACTTTTGGCCACAGAGGACCTACATCACCAGGGATATTGTGGCTACAGACGGAGGGAACAGGAGCAGCTCGGTGGAGCTCGCTGTCACCATCACCAATGTGAAGAATCAGCCTCCTCAGTGGGACAAGGACAGCTACAGCGTGGTCATCCCGGAAAACACCGTCAGAGACACTCCCATCGTGGTAAGTTAAGGTGTGGGTGAGGCGGTCTGCACACACATGGCTACAATTCCCCAACAAAAGTATTTTGATTGTTTTAACATGCTCAACGCTGTAGTTGAGTTGTTATAATCTGGAAAAACAAAGGGGACAGAGGGGGCATAAAGCTACAGAGGCAGGTTTTGGTTGATTTGATACATGAACCTGGGGGATTCATCTGGATAAGAACCATGATTACAGGGCGCCGGTAGCCTAGTGGTTAGAGCGCTGCACCATGTGGGGGGTGTGGCTCAGTTGGTAGAGTCGTCGCCTCTCAACCGAAAGGTCAAATGGCCAATGTGTCCTTGGGCGAGACACTTAACCCTGAATTGCTCCCGCTGCTTCAGCGGCGGTGTATGAATGGGATTAGTTACTTCTGATGATACTACATAGCGATCACTACCATCAGTATGTGAAAGGGTGTGAATGGGTGGGTGTGACAGACGGTGTAAAAGCGCTTTGAGTAGTCAGAAGACTAGAAAAGCGTTATATAAGCTCAAGTCCATTTACCATTTACGATGAACTCAGGCCATCCTTCAAGCGGACGGCCCAGTTTGAATCCGACCTGTGGTTCCTTTCCTGCATGTTTCTCCCTACTCTCTCTCCTTATTTCTGACTCTATCCTCTGTCCTATCTCTACAATAAAAAGAAGATAATTTATTTCCATCCTTTATAACCTTTTTTTCAACACTGACACAAAAGAAGCGCTTCATCATTTTAACATAGTGAACCTCATATCATGTATTTTCACTGGATATGTTTATAAATAAATAAACAAAATCAGTAAAGGTCACATATTCTGTTCCTCTAACTCTAACATGTGTCTCTAGTCCGTCTACAAACCCCCCAATGATGAGTAAAGTCCATCCTCTCCGTCTTCTGCCTGCTCCACTTTTCAGAAAATGTGTGCTCAAACAGGCCGTTTGGAGATTTTCCCTTCATGACATCACAAAGGGCAGTAGCCCCTCCCCCAGGTGGGTGACACTCCCACAGCTAGGTGTTTGTTCTGCCCTCTGAGTCTGCCTTCTCACAGTAAACATTAGGGCATGGAGCGAGAAAGCCGAGTACACCCGAGCCCTTCCAGAGAGGGGGCGTGGTCAGACACAGCTCATTTACATATTTAAAGGTACAGACACAGAAACAGCCTGTTCTGAGCAGGGCTGAAATAGAGGGGTTTATAGACATGATCAAATACAGGATCAGAGTGGATTTAGAACAAGAAACTTCACACACATGTTTTGGGGAGCTCTGAGAATTATTTAAACTGAAGAAGAGGAGGAGAATATGCCACCTTTAAAAAAGGTAGAAGGTTTTCTTATTCTAACTGAAAAGAGAAAAAGAAATCATTAACTAGTGTTGTCAACATTTATAGTTATTAAATGTTTTGTTGAGTCGTTGTTGCAGCCCTACTTGAGAAAGGACAGCGAACACAAACTGCAAAAAGAAAGTTTGTCCCTCAGTGGAATTTTCTTATTAAATAAAGGTTAAGAGAAAAGAAGAGGCCGTTCAACGTGTGAATGTGAGTGTAAATGGTTGTCTGTCTTTTTGTCAGTCTTCAATGAATGTTTTCTCTGAGGAATGCAGCAACAATCAAAGACGTGTTACACTTCTCATCACAACTTTGACAAGTTCTGCTCGTAGACTAGAAACGAAGAAGCCTTGGAAATGTGATTTCCTCATTCGAAGCGTCAAGCTCTGCTTCTTGATCCTGGTTTGTTTGGACTGAAATAAAGAACTGAAATAAATGGAAAAGATGTGGCATATACACATTACTAAACCTGCAGCTGTCATACTGTTGATCACAGGTAACCATTCCCTGCTTTATGTTTATTTCTTTTTAACTTTACTTATAAAATAAAATCAACGGTCTCACAAAAGTTCCATGCATCCAGTATCACTTTTCCATTCAGGGTCATAAGGGGGTTGTAGCTAGTCAATCACAGGGACTCGTTGGCTCGTTGTGGCCCTGCAGCTCATGTTGAAACACGTGCTGAGCAACTGACTAATAACGACAGAGCGGATCGGCAGACCAATCAGAGCAGACTTGGCCCACATGGGGTCTAACAGTGTGGGCTCAACAGAGTGCAGCTGATGGACTCAGAGTGTAGAGGGAGCAAGGAGGAGCAGTTCATGAAAACAGACACTTTTTTCGACTTTAGCTATTGTGAACGTACAAAAGTAGGAACATAGATTAAATATACGAACCCCAAAAAGGGCAGAATATGGGCTCTTTAAGAAATACCCTTTTTTAATTAACAATGTTCACAAAAATGACAATTTAGTTCTCAGCCTCTCTACAGACTGTAGACAGTGTTGTTGTTAGTCAAAAGTCGGTGGCCTGAAGGCTGAAAGTCTTAAGCCCAAATGATCAGCAAACGATGGGGGCGTGTCATCACACACGACCTTCATTTACACTAAGAAAAGTGAAAGGAAGAGGATGCTACAGTGCTCAGGCTGTGAAAATAAACAAGCCCTTTAGAGGAATCGTGTGATTTTCTTGTAACTATTCAGTTTGGTTTATACTCCCAAACACACAGTTTGTAGATTCCACCACCAGGGGGCTCTCAAGCAAAACAGCAACAAAGTTGAATAATGGGAGCGATTCCTTCCGCTACTCCACCCCGACCACTGATGAAAATGAACTCCCATTTGACCGAGGTCAGGACGAATTGGGGTTCAAACAACTTTGAACCCTGTAGAAAGTTTTTCCGATGCTGAAAATCTTGATTTTGTTGATTTTGTTTTTTCCCCCACAAAGAAAATGCTTCTACCATGGGCTGCATTGTGAAATGTTTGTTTTGTTCAGACTATCAACTCATCACTGTCTGCAGTCCTGTGTGTACCTACCTGTCCTGCTCGTCTTTGTCGCTACTTAAATGCCCCGCTTTGTGTCTGGTGGAATCAAAAGAAAGAACTAAAGTGCCTGCAGTGAGCTCTGATGAAGGTTTAGAAACCACAACTTTAAAAGAAATGCAGACACTCAAACTTTACCGACGTGGACACTAGAAAATGTGTGCTCTGTCTGCTAGCTGTGTGTTACTTGTCACTTGAAACTTGCAAACAGCATCATAACTAACTTTGAAGTTTATCCAGATGAAATGAGCCATATCCCACTGTTTATTCCGTTGATAAGTCCTCATCATGTGTGCAATTACGATTCAGCCCACAAACTGCATTTGACTATAGGCATTGCCCTTTCCCACCACTAACACATTTTCAACTAATTGACAATAATTTTTAAGGATCTCTTGAAAGTAATAATCTCAATCAAAGTTGCTGAAAAACATTTTGAGGGGAAATATTGAAATGAAAGGACAGAGGGGAGTGCTCAACACAGAACATGTGGATTTGTTGGTATGAGGAGTGAGAGAGAGTGAGAGCCAGCCGCCTCCCTCCAGTACACTGTATTAATCGAGATAGCTGTTCAGTGTTCAGATTTGACCATTATGCAAAGAAACAATTACTCTCTGTTGGTTGTTAAAGCTCTACCAATGGAAATTAGAGGTTTTTATGGCCTGGACTGGCATATATGATAGCCAGGCATGTTTTTCCTCTTCTGCATGCCTGATAGGATGTCTCATTATTGGAGCTGCTAGGCTTTGCAGGTTGAACAGGAGCAGCTAGGTCACCCGCAGAAAAGCCGCATCACATCCGAGGTGGCGTTTTATTATTTTAATTGGGGTGTTTATGGCGTCGGCCTCTCCTTAATTAGTTTAGGGAGAATGCTGGATGAAGTGTGTTTCTTTTGATTTCACAGGATTTCAGCGGGTTGTTGTCTACTCTAACAGTTTCACACTCACGGCCTTAACGTTTTAGTGTTCATTATTATGGGCTTTAAACCAGCTTTTCTTTTTTTTTTTTTTTTTTTTTTTTAAATTTGGCAGATCTTTTTTTCCCCTCTCTCTCTCTCTCTTCAGTATGCACACCAACATACAAGCAGAGCAGCAGCCGGGCTTCTTTCCGTTCCATTCAGCCTCTCTGCCAGCTCTCAGGGATGATATTTGGAAATGCGCTGGCACTTTGTAGGATTTTGTTTTGTTGGTTTCTCTGTCACTTACTGCAGAAAGTAACCAGGAGTTAGTGTGATAAATCTAAAAGTGAGAATCATTTGGTCGGCCTTGAGACGAGCGCTCCAGTCTCCAGTCATCCAGATCCTCCCATGCATCTGGCTAACTCACCAATGCTTTCTGCACCTGCATCTCTCCTAAAACCTCTCCTTATGTTAATGTGGGACGACCCTTGTGGTCAATGCCTGTGTGTAAATTGTAATTGGTAAATAGACTTCGCTTTTCTCGTCATTGACTACTCAAAGCTCTTTAACACCGCATGTCACACCTACACATTCACACAGTGATGGTAGAGTTTGCTCAGCATTAATTAATCCATTCATAAAGCAGATGAAGCAGCGGGAGTAATTTGTGTGACATGTGTGAAGACACTTCACACATGAAGTGAAGACGTGAAGACACTTCACACATGTTGCAACAACATGTGAAGACACTTCACACAGTACATGTGAAGCATGTAGCAACATGTGAAGACACTTCACACATGTTGCTGCAGAAGCTGGGGATCAAACCCCTGACCCTAAGGTTGAGAGACGACCGACTCTACCAACTGAGCCACAGCCGCCCTGTGTGGGCTCCCTCAGCACCAATTTACTTGCTGGGAGCTCCCTGTGTCTCTGGTAGTGTCCTGCCAGCCTCATCCTCCTCGTTGCTATGGCTAAGAATCAGAAAATGACAATCAGCTTTACTGAAATGGGGAATTACTTAAAAGAAAATATTATTTTGGGTCAAAATTTTCATCCGTTATCAAGTGGTGGTGGGGTCCATGTTTTTTCACTAGGGACCAAAACTGACTGCGAACCGGAAAGTTCCTCAGTCGAATGAGGACATAAATATACATAAAGAGTTTTTAACATCTTCTTCTTTTTGTCCCAAACAGACCATCAAAGCCACCTCCCCACTCGGGGACCCCAGGGTAACCTACAACCTGGAGGACGGTATGGTCCCAGAAACCAACATGCCAGTTCGCTTCTATTTGACCCCAAACCGAGAGGACGGTTCAGCCTCCATCCTGGTGGCAGAGCCCCTGGACTACGAGACCACCAGGAACTTCATGCTGCGGGTTCGAGCGCAGAATGTGGCCGCTGTACCGCTGGCTGCCTTCACTACGGTCTATATCAATGTCACAGGTGAGTGTGCTTTGCATTTGTTTTCTGTTTTAATGTAGGTGTTTATTCACCCACCAGACGTTCTCTTATCTCATTAAAACATGGCGTTCTTCTCTTGAATGATCTTCCTTTTTTTTCTTAACATATTTTATTGCCATTTTATAAGGTTTCGGAACACATAACAATACAATGACATCCTACAAGTTTCCTATTAAGCTACACATCCAACCCCTCCCCTGCCACAACCATTAAAAACAGTACTAATAAAGTCAATTAAATAATAAGAGGTACATTGGTGCAAAATCAATAATACAGACAAGAAATAATAACCTCTCTCTCTGACAGTACAGTTGTTCATTTAGTCAGAGGATGGAGTTGACATTCATCAAGTAAGCCGTGCTCACTAAACCTTTTAAGACATTTCTTTACTCGTTAAGGAAGAGAATTCAAACAATGTCTTTTTTACAGTTGGAAAAGATCTAATTCTCAGTACGGGGTTTGACGGACAAATTTTACAGTCATTGGAAGCCCCTGATTGATTATGTTAGGAGGCTGACCTGGTGAGAAGAGGAGAAAATAATTGGACTAATATTATTATTATTATTTCATTAATTAATTTATTTTTATTGTAAGTGTTAATATTATTCTTACTCTATTATTATTTCTGTAGTAGGTGATTGTAGACAGAAAGTCAAATAATGTGTTTTGAAAGAAGACTATACTGGCCACTGAATTTCCTCATTCAGTTATCCAGCAAGATAAACACGTCCCACAGTAACTCTCAGGACCACGGCGTGATGTTGACATTCTTTACTTATGAGCAATACAAATGAAAAATACAAATACTAACCAAGTACTTATAAATATCACTTGTTGTACATAACTCCAATATTACAGAAACAAACCTACATACATGTCAATATGCATGCTAGAACCCATGTATGCCTATGAAACTGAGGCTAGCTTAGTCTTCACAACAAATTTCTCATCACATCCAGTATTAACATAAATCTTACAAAAGAATGAGCTTATATCAAAGATAAACTATATTGTAATCTGCAAACTTACAGGTAATGCCTTCTCAAGGGTTATGAAAGAAGGATGGCAAAGGACGAGCAGACATCAGCTCCACTGTAGCACACATGCCATTTCTAGGTTAACTTCCTGTCACACAGGAACTAGAACGTCAATGCCAATCACTGCGCTATGATAGATGACCAACAGGAGTCACCAAAAAACACTGAATAACTGGCAGGGCCAGAACAAAGACAAAGATTAAGACGTGGAAGTGAATGTCATGTGTTTTCTGAGACGCTAAACTGGTTCATCCAGAGTGCAGATTTTTCAGGTCTTTGATGGCAACTTTCAACATAAAAGTCCTGGTTAGTGTTTACGGGGGTCGTGGTGCTGCGTTGTGTTGTGTACCTCCCACCGATGCATTGACCACATAGCAGCCGTTTGCTTTTGAGAGGTTGAAGGAACAGACGACAAATTAGGAGTTTGATGACTATTCTTCTGATGGCCTTGCTATAAGCTAATGGATGAAAACAAAGGATGATTTTTCTTCATTAATTTGCAGGATGGGCCTAATGGACCTTTTTAGAGGATAAATAACAAAAAGCTCGCTCAAGAGCGTCACCAGGCGCCGCCGCGCTTTATCAAAGACTGACTTTTTGGAGCCCGTCGGTCTAATAGCTCGTGTATTACTGAAGTGCACTCAAAGAACACATTACTGACAAACATCCATTTTCAGCTTTTTAATCGAGTTTTTTAATTCACTTAAGTTGACGTTTTTTTTTCTCCAAACATGCTGATTGTTTTTGTCACAATCCAGACTCTTTCCAAACTGCATCTCTAATATTATATAAACAAGCTTCTTTGATTGATTTTTTGGGGATTTTGTTCAGTTATTGTACAGTGACAGTGGCGAGGCAGACAGAAGAAAGGGAGAGGGAGAGGAGAGGGAGGGATATGTCTTTCAAACAATGGTTTCCAGCTGGCATCAAAGCTGTGACAGTTGCATCTGTGCTGCGATGAAGCATCGCTGTAACCGTTCGGCTGCCGAGGGGGCTCCCGACACAGCACTTCCTCCAAAAATTAGCCCGTTGGCAGCGGAAGAATCCAAAGCGGAATAATCACATTGTGTTGCTCTCTGGTGTAATCAGCTGGAGTCCTTGAAATCTCAGATTACTAAACTGCACATTTCCAAATAGTTTGCAAAACTGAACCTTAAACCAACGAGCTAACTCCTCTGAACAGACATGACTTCATACAGTCAGAATCTCGCTCTCCTATCTGTGGCATTTTCACCTCTTTTTAGAAAAACAATAGATTGCTTTAGTCTGAAGTGGTTTAATGTAGTTCTAAGCCTCAGTAACTAGTCTTATATCACCACCACCATTACTGTTAAATGGTCGTGTTTGCTCACCCCTGACCTCGCTTCTCAGAATTACACTGCATACACCACATGCTCAAAGCTCCCCTGCATTTAATCCCCTTACAGCATGTACACACACACACACACACACACACACACACACACACACACACACACACACACACACACACACACACACACACACACACACACACACACGTATTTCACACATTAATCCAGTGAGAAATAATTAATTCAGACTCCCTACCTTCTCCATCCCACTCCTAACTTTCCTCTCTCTCCCCACTGTCGCTCGCCCCTCCTCTCTCTTATCACTCTTAATAAGAAAGCTCTTTGACTCCTCCAGAGGCACTAAGCAGAGGGAGGAAGGGGTGGGGGTGGGGGCTGTAATGGATTTAAGACTCCATTTTTAATTCATAGATTAAGACATTTGCTCAGAAGAAAGGGAAGGAAATAAAATGGCACATGGAGCAGCGTTGGATTCAAAGTGTGACTCCCTTCAAGTTACTTCTGCAAGGCTCTCTGCTCTTCAGGCTAACATGTTATTAATGTTTCTGTTGATACCATTTTATGATAATAAAAAATGTCATCATGTAACAGAGTGTTACATAAGTGTGCATAGATTGATATCAGATGAGGATAATAACACAGTAAATAATAATACAAAGCGAGTACACTTCAAGAACATGTTCACTGAGAGTGATGCCAGTAGACATTTTCACAAACGGAGTCCACCAACTCGGGCATGTCTATTGATTGGAACTTAATGCACATGTGTGAAGAGCCTATGTGCACAGAGGCACTACCTAGTCCCCAACGCCCAGCCACCACCATCGGACTGTGTCGTCCCCACAATCACCGCCGTCCTCATTCATGCACGGCCTGCTCCGACCTCCACCTCAGCGGCGAGGAAGTGTGGACAACAGGAATACAAAGGAGAAATCCTTCCTGCATATTGTTTCATATGCCCCTTTTGTAAAGCGTCTCGACTTGTTGTGAATTGGCGCTATGCAAATAACGACTGATTGATTGATAGACCTAGAAGAGCGTGTTGCCAGTTTACACGGCGACCGAAACGCTCCAGGATGACGGGAAGGATGGTCAAACATCCACCATCTAGTCCAGGATCCTGACTGGCAGCATCATACAACGGACTCAAAGCTCATTGACGAACAAAAGATGATTATTGCACATCATTTAGATCTAAACAACCCTGAAAATTCACAGGACTCAAATTGATTTAAAAGAAAGACACATAAACACAAAGTTATCGTTCTAACCGACCTGTTTCAAACTAACGCAGAGGTCCGTGTTGGATTTAGGTACCTGAGGCTATGCATAAAATATGAAAGCATTCAAAGTCTTATCAGATAACAAAACAACGCTCTGCATATTAAACTACCTTCATGTTTACAACCCAACTGGACGATTATCATACATGCACTTGTTGTATCTTTTGTCACATGATTGTACGGTAAACAGGAGAAAAACTACAGCTTTTGTGTCACAAAGAAATGCACGAGGAGAGAGCACCTGCCAATATCTGCTCGGCCAGAGTCGAGCCTTGTTGAGTGATGCTTTGTTGCATTCTGGCAAAAGCTTAAATGATTATTTTTTGTATTTCTGAAAGCCAAAGAGAGAAAAGGGAACATGAGGAGAGAGTGGGGATAATAGGAGCCCAGTCAGAGTAAACATTTGCTTCCTTTATTAAGTTGTTATAGCTTACATTTGGTTAGTTTGGATTTTTTTATCTTAAAATCATGAATGTAAAAGGCATCCCAACAATGAAAGGTTTTTTAAATATAATAAAAAATATCTTAAAATGAATTCTGACATACACAACATCAGTGCAGTGGAGTCAAGGAATGGGGAGCTTTTCCCAGAAACCATGATGGTGCTGACACTCAGGAGCCCTGAGAGTGAAACCAAATGCAATCGTTTAAATATAATGTCAGCAATGGTCCATGGTCGCATGAAGCAGGAAACAGTTGAGGACCAAAGCAGTATGGGGCCGGCTCTTTTACAATCACCATGAGACAGAAAGCAAAATGTCTGACACAAACAGCATGAATAAAACGCATGGTGATGAGTAATATAAGAACATTTTGGGCCAATCGCACAGACACACGCCTCTCGAAGCGCGTCGCCAGCAAAACCATTATTTTCATATGGTATAGCGCTGTGATTTAAGTTGAAATATTCTCAACTTTTCAGCCCAAGGCACGGTCGCACCGCTGGTCAATGTCACACTTGGCACAGGCAGCCAATCAAATCAATCGAGAGGCGGGCCTAACTACTTTATCAATTCCTCCCCCAACGAAGAAAAAGAAGAATGATTAGCGAAAGTAGGACTGGAAGCGCCCGTCATCCAGACACAACTCCAAAAGAGAATGTTTTTTTTTTCTTCAGTATATCATGAACCTAAAATATTCGCTTATTATGTGTTCCCCCCCCCATCCAATAGGACAGCAACGGCAAGAGCCCGGCGTCTGCTTGAGTCCATTTTCCGTTACCATTATAAAACCATGCTGTTATTCCCAACACGCTTTTAAGGACTTTTTGAGCGGTGTGATTACAACCCTCATCTAGACTCCAATCTTACATTTTCCTTTGGCCTATTCAGACGGGGTTTGTTCTGTACAGTGAAAAAATATGAAGTTTTTTACAGATCAGCTCAGTCTGGGTTCTTATATTGAATTCACAGTTTCTTCTGCATCACTAGTAATGAATCCCATCACATTGTAACATCCGGAGTTCACACAGGTGAATTCGATCTGCCGCCTATGAAAGGGCTCTGAAAGACTTTTCAAACTTTACTGGACAAAGTGATTGTTTCCAGGTAAAGATGATGGATCTCCATTTCTTATGCTTGGGGGATGACTGGGTCGCCGGGTTACAACTTGGGCCTACATCATCATCACGATAACGCATTGAAATAAATTAATGATGTCTGGACGAGCAAATCCTTCGGAATAACCATAACTCATAACCCTGAACATAATCAGAGCCACTGAAAGGTTTCAAATATACATAACTGTGAAATGGGACAAGGTTCAGATGAAGGTCTAATGAGAGAGAAGTGATTCATATGAGTCACAGACTGGGTGTTACATTAGAGGTGTTATGTGAACTTTCATTGACTTACATTGTTAATGCTGTTCTGAGGGGTTGGGTGTAATTTAGACTTGTCCCCCACTAAGGACTTACAAAGTCGAACCTGATTCGTTGACTGAATGTCGAATGTTGTTGTTGATGTTTTTCACTCATTGATCCACATTCTGAGTTCAGTTTAACCACATCAATTCAACTATTTGACTTCTAGACTTGGAATAAAACTTACCATGTGTAGAGTCACTGAACTCTCCTGATCACACTTATCCACCAAAAACAAGTCCCAATGTTTAAATCTAGTAAAAGATTGAATCCAAACACAGATCCATTTATCTTTATCTTTAACGATCAACAGGCTGCTCCAAAAGTACCTCTGACCTTTTGTTGACACCTCATAACAGCCAATGGGAGCCTTTGTTGAAAGGAGGAGCATCTCTTGTTGCAAGTGAAATTCTCTAAACATGATTACGCTGCTTATCTCAATACTTTGGGGTGATTTATTCATGCACTCACTAAGGAGATTGATTTAAAGTATGAGTTGTTTTCAGAATTGCATTAAAAGTATGGTGACATTTATCCAAGATAGGCTATGAGTCATGAATTATTGGGAGAAAACAGACAAATCTATGTGAACCCAGACATTAAAGATGCACAATGTGGATTTTGTAGTGACATTTGAAAGTTGGAGAAGTGTAATAATTCTCTGCTATATTTTCTGAACTAAATACACAAACTTTATTCAAAGGAAAAAAAACTGGGTTCATTGAAGAGTGGAGCTAAAAAGCGACCAGGAGAGTTACGGTCCCCCCACCATAACTTCTGGCATAGCATTTCATCTTCAAACAGTGTAACAGGGACAACATTTTCCTCTGAGGAAAGTTTGTGTATAGAGTTATGAACATATACCACATAATCCGTACACTTCTCCAACTTTCACATTTCTCCTCCAAAACTCTTTCACCCTCACAGCTGGAATGGAAGGATCCTTGAGCCCGACTGTGAGACTGGCAGTCGACTGAGGCTCTGATGGACGAATCGTGGAGTTCTCGACTTTATGGGGTCACCCCTACTGAAATTTAACCAGTTGCTCAATTATAATCATTTTTTTTAAGACGATGTTTGGAAAATATATGAAAATACCAATAATTGATAGTGTCTTCAGCTCCATGTTTATGTTCTTTATATTATATATTTTGAATAACGAAAAAAGTTTTCTCAAAAATTAAAGTTCTAATACAGCAAGAGAGTAATTGTTTAGCTGAGTGTCTGAAAACGTGTTGTTGTTTACTGCCATTTAAGTGTCTCTACAGGTTTGTTGAGGTGGACACATTCTTGGGTGTCTAAGTGGAGTCTCCTAAATTGCAAAGATAGTCAATAAACAAAGATAATTGAACAGCAGTTACTCTTATAATGATGTGCATGAGCTCGCTAATGAGGCCACACTCCGGTTTCCAAAAATGAGGAGCGAGCTGTTGACTAGAAATAGTACATCAAATACATTTCAAGGACGTCCAACCATCATCTGTTTTATTCATAAATTTGCCACCAAACACCGATTGATGGTGATAAGCAGGCTGGGAATATGGAGGGATGTTCTGTCTTTGTCATGCAGGCTTCTGAGCTCTGGAAGGACGGCATCAATCATCCTCCATGTTTTTAGAAACTAATTTCTTTGATGCATTTTGGTAACAGTCTCTCTTCGTCCTGTCTTCTGTTCTGCAGATGTAAATGACAACGTCCCGTTTTTCACCTCCTCCATCTACGAGGCGTCCGTCACTGAAGGGGCAGAATCAGGAACTTTGGTTTTCCAGGTTTCGGCCAATGACCTGGACCTGGGTCTCAACGGCAAGGTGATAACAAATTCACACACTCACACAATAACTGTGGGGAAACAACGGTTGTGATTGTGTAATTTATTTATTTATTTATTCCTTTGCTGTGGCGGTGCAGTCGTAATGAACGTACTGTTCTAACAACTGATCTCTTACTCCTTCTCCCCAGATCTCCTACTCCCTGCTGGAGGATCGCAGTGGTGACCACCAGTATTTCCGGATCGACCCAGAGCTGGGATTTATCTACTCACAGACGGTGTTTGACCGAGAGACCAAAAGCTCGTACCTGTTGGAGGTTCAGTCTGTGGACGGGAGGGAGTCATCGCGGCCCGGCAAACATGGACAACCCAACTCCGGTAAAGAGGGCCTGATATTCCCCCGCCTGCGACTGATTGAAGGGTTTATTAGTTTGGCGTTTGCAGTTTGTCTGGTTGTGTTTCGCCTGCTTCCCAGTGTTGATTCAATGAATCCATCTGTAAAGCAATCCAGCACAAGCTGAACCTCCTTTATGCTAACAGGCTAACTGTAGCGTTACACTGATAATGATGCTGGCCTTTACGTCGCCTGGTAAGACGCCATCTTTGTTGTCTGGCCTTAATCTTCTTCTTACTGCCACCTTCTGGACTAGCGGTGTAGTGCAGTTACTTTCTTTGCTTCTCGATATATCATCACCCTGCGTTGCATAAACTTCCTGGGGCTTCAGGCAACGATGGAAGTGCTGACAACAATTAGCCACAGGAACCTTTTAGTTTGCTGAGGAGAAGACCCCCGGGAACTGACCTTTGGTTGAAAAGGGACTTAAGTGCGGGCTGAGGAGGCGCCAATAGATATCTCTTTTTTTTGGTTCAATAAACAAATAGGTCCATTTTGTACAAAACATTTCTCAGTGCAGCATGAAACATGGGGACATTATTGGCGGCGAACATAAATGAAATGCTTTAAATTCCATCTGTTTTAGAGTTTAAATATGGAGATGTTTTGTGAACTGAAAAAGATGACAAGCACTGAGGGGGGGAGAGAGCTGCAAACAGCTGCTCTGCAGACTTCATTTAAGGCTCCAAATCTTCAACGAAGGCAGCAATAATTCTGTTTTCCTTTTTCTGTCTGTTTCCCACATCTGCTCCTCTCTCCCCATTGAAGGACCAAGGGCCATTTTTCTCTTTTAGTCGGCCTCTGTTGCTCGCTCTCTGCCTCCTTCCACCCATTTCTCTCTCATTTGCTGCCAGATGAAATGCATACATGCTCCAGCGGTAGAATAGAGACACACACAGAGAGGAGAGCAGATGCTGAGGCAGATGGATGGATGGATGGATGGAGAGAGGTGTTGAAGAAAACAACGGGACAGCTCAGGATGTATTTTTAATAAATCTGATCATAGATTATTAACACGTCTCCTCTCTAGATTTGTCTCACTGTGACATTTGTGGCTACGCAAACACAAGTTAAATATTAAGCAGCGCAGAGTCCGCAGAGAAGCTCGGGGAGTTCGTTTCTTTCATTTCTTTTATTCCTGTGCCATGAATATTGAACGAGTTGGCATGAAAAAAGGATGGGTTAGTAAATTAACACATAGTTAACACAGATGCACACATCAAAACACAAACCTGGGACTGTATCTAATTGATGTTGTTGTTAATCTCCGGCAACATTTTCAACGGGGAAATCCTATCGGTGCAGTGTGAACAAATTTTACTCAACAATCCGTTACATCTGAGGTGAGACATAATTCACCACAGCTTGAAGAGATGCAGACCTCCATCTCCATGTGAGGTCAGGCTGAAGGATTTTTTAGATTTATATCTTATATATCTTTCACACTTCAGAAAACTCCTGATATTTCCAGATCGAGGTGTATTTGTGAACGCAAACAGCCACATTTTTCACTCGGACTTCACCCAGAGTTTCTCCTGACAGACCCCC